TAACTGCTAAGTTTAGCAACATCAATCCTGTAGTCCCAGTTGTCACTGTAATCCCAGGACCATACAGGTTGTTAAAGAGGCAGGCGTCCCAGGCAGGTAGGCCAGCAGATGCTGCAGGCAAGCACTAAAGAATGTGGGCAGGTAAAACTGTGGGAACAGGAATGATTTTCTACTTCCTGCCAGCTTCCCCATTGACTTTGCTTGTGGGAAGTTGTCAGGGAACACTGGAAATCATAATCATGTTACTGTCACTTGCTGCAATGTCATTACTGTAAGCCGGACACCCAAGTATCTAGATTCCAATCATGTAACGGCCACCTGGTTCAGCACCTTTGTAACTTTGAACAGTTGCTAAGCAAATGGTTATAATTTGAGGACTACCTGTATTCTTTAACTCTTTGTTTTGTCAGAATTAAGCAAATATAAAATAGATTTTTTCAGGCTGGCCAGAGAATCCTGGGAGTTGGAGTCCACGAATCTGAAAGTTGTCAAGATTGGAAAACCTTGATTTATATCTTCCAGACTGAACTTCATTTAGCTTTGAGTTAGTTAAAATAGTAACTAGTGGGCCTCTTTTGGGGCATGGGGGGGAATCTTCTGTCACTCTTTTAAAAATAAAATTGATGTTTTACCTAAAATCTAAAGTAAATTTATTATCTTTTTCGGCTGAGATCGTGAAAGAATAGTTGAGAATAAATGTCATTAGCCTATTTATTCAAAATAATAGCATTGATGTAGGAGATTTTTATTGTACAAGATTAATAAAGGGAGTTGGTACATCTGTTTTTAAATAAGTGTGTCTGTTCAATTTAGGAACTAAAATGTCATTGGGAACAGAAGCTAAATATATACTCCATTTGACATAGCATCTTAGTCCCAGTGATAATATGTCAGGGTAGTAATTTGTACTTATAGTTAAGTGGGCTTGAAAGATAGGCATCTGCATGAATTTGGCAGCACTAAAGAGGTTCAGAGCTCTTGACCTTCTCCTCTACTGATATTCAGTTTAGCGATTCAGCGAAGCAAAGCCAATAATTTGCTCATTAAAAAAATAGCCCAACAACAAAAAGAACATAATTATAACCAATAAGAGATCTGGGGACTGTCCAGTATATTTGCAGAGGGCTCAGTCAACAGCAATGGCAGTTGAAGTCCACACATCTTAAACTCTGGGAATTGGCAGGTTTCAGGTCAGAGGTCTAAATGTTTGCATGTTACAGTGAGTTTCTAGGACAAGGTTATTTGTTTGTCTCTCTTTCTCTCTCTGCAGAACAAAATGGCTTTTTAGAGAAGTTACGCTAGAACAGAAAAGTCTGTGAAAGAAACTTTGGCATTGGACCCAAAGGCTTTTCTGTAAGAAGAAGAGGTTTCCTCGGAGGAAGAGAAGGGTCATTTTAAAAAAACTCTTCCTTGGAAAAGAAACAAATATTTCCTATCACGGAGAATGTAGCTCTAGAGATCTAGCATTCTTGTGCATTTCATAGAAACCATGTTTATTAAGAAATGTTCTGGCTTAATGTCTATGGAGATTCTCAATCATCCAGATCATGGTTGTCCCAAAGGTGTTTTTCCAAAAGGCAACTGGACTTTCTTGGTTTTTTTCCCTTGAAAATGTTTCACTTCTCATCCAAGAAGCTTCAGTTCTGAAGAAGCTTCTTGGATGAGAAACAAAATATTTTCAAGGCAGGAGCCCTTGGGTAGCAGCTGACAGCAACTACTTAAAACAGCAATGTCTGTTCCTGCTGTTGTGTGACTGCCCTCTGCAGTTGCAGCACAGTTGCAGAAAAAGAACATATTTTGATTATGAAGTTGCTGACAGCTCCTCTGCACACACCAATATGCCCTCTGAAGCACTTTTCCCTTCAAGTCAAGAGCCCTAATATCTTAGCATAATTAGCTGAGGCATATGCACATACAACTAACTTCACTGTTAGTGAACTGTTATTGGCACATTTTATATAATTAATATCCAATTCATATGTGGCAGAAAGCAATTAGACCCAGACATTATGGGGTTATATAAGTTACCATTTAGGCACAAACTAGTATTGAAATACAAGCAAGGATTTGTAAAACCATAGGACTAGTTTCATAGCTTAATTCTACCAGCTTTGTCCTATCAGATTTCCATATATTACAGAGGGGGTTATTCTTGAACCTGGGAACAATTATAAAATTAATTTCCAGTTTGGTGTGGTAAAGTACACTTCCCTAAATACTGAAGCTGTTTCAAATGTGGTATTGTTAAAACTAAAAGGAGAATTTCTTAAACAAATGTAAAGTGATAATTTAAAGAATAAATATACTTTAAAGAATAAATGACAACTTTTGAACGAATTTATTGTATATCTTTGCCCTGAAATATACATAAAAAGCTAGTGATGCCTCTTCTAAGCTTTTTTCCAGGAGAGACTGAAGATTTTTATGTTCAGTTTTTACTGGTAGATAAGAAACTCAAAGTAACTCTTATAGTTGCAAAGTTTCCACCATTTATAAAACTGATTGTTGATAGCAAAACAGTGCAGGTGTGAGCATACATTTTTCACCTTGTATGCCTTATTTTGAATGTTATTTTCTAGGTTGTATTTGGCAGGTTATGTTTAGCAAATCTTATTTAGTCTGGGTGGCTGACCTGGAAGAATAAAAAATTTGAATTTGTGTATCTTTGCTCCCATCTAATGGTCTTCTGGATTTTAATAGCTCAAATTGGATAGGTGTAAAAATAAATTATATTGTTTTAATAAGACCAAAAAAGAGAGAAAGAAAAACAAAATAAGAACAGGCTGTGACTAAAAATAAATGAATTGAATCTGTTACTTTTCTATTTCTTTGCTGCACAATCTGTTTAAAAAAGCTAAAATAATTAAATAAGAAAAATCTCTCTTAAAACCTCTTGAGAAAAGAATTATATCTGTCAAAGACTGCCTTGAGTAAGGAAGGATTAAGTGGCTAAGAATGGAGGAAAGAATAATTATTGCAGGATGATTCTCAATAGACATTTCTGACAATTTGTTGAATGGCCCAAGTGTTATTGACTCAGTCATCTCTGCTGTGAAGTCTTATTGATCACATTGTTTCTTTGAGATTTAATGTATCTCACAACTTCTTTTAAAATATTTTAATATTTAAATATTTGTTGCATTAAATCTACTTTAATAATGGGATTTTCTTCTAATTTTTGAAAATAGGTAAATTTCTGATTAAGAAAAAAGTTGCATTCACAGTTGGCAAGTAAAAGTATAACAAATATTTAACAAAATCACAGTTTTTGATTTATTATTTGAGCCAAACATGAAAATCTGAGCAACACAGGGAAAAATTAGAGAAGTATGATTTTTTTTTTCCATTCAAGACTCCAAATGTCCGATTTTGAAGCAAGAATTGTTTTGAGGGAAACCTGTGCTTTGTCTGACAAATTTATTACCAACTTAATAATACATCTGTCTTTGTCTTTTCATTCAGGGGTGCTACATCTATTGTCTACAGGTGCAGGCAGAAAGGAACTCAAAAGCCTTTTGCTGTCAAAATCTTGAAGAAAACTGTAAGTGTAGCTGTTCCTATATGAGTTTTTTTGTTGCTGAATTTTGCTTCTGAGCAGAGCTACATTAGAATACAAATGTATTAATTTCTCACAGTCTCACCAATGTAGACCTTTAAGCTTCTTTTAATCCAAAATAATAAGGCATGTGGGACATTAAATGTTGAATTCAAAACAAACTATTACTCAATAGAACATCTGCCGAACTGTTTGAAATCCACTATAATTCAAAAGAACCAAATTGAGAATTTCAGAATGTTGTGCTGAAACTCCCTGTACAATATATTTGCATTCCTAATCATCCTGGCAACTTTCCTGCCTTCTTTCAGTTGTCACTGCTGATGCCCTTTGTGCTCTCCCCCAAACAATTGGAGCAACTGTATTTTGGTTTATGCACAATAGTCCTTAACTTACAATCAATTGCTTAGCGGCCATTCAAAGTTTTGAGAGACCCCCAAGAGCACTTTATGACTTTGAAGTTTTAACATCATCCCCCTGTAGTCAATGACCATCTTTTGGGCACTCAGCTACTGGGCCACATTTGTGGGTTTGCAGTGCAACATAGTCACATGACCATGATTTACCATGGTTTTGCTGGACACAGATATTTCTAACAAAAAACAATCCATAGTGAATAATAACATCCCTTAACAACCATGGCATTTGCTTAACTGCTGCAAAAAAGTCATAAAAATGGGTCTGATCACATGGTGACCTGCTTTATGACCAACAAAACTTATGATTATAATTGCCTGATTCAATTTTGATTGTAAGTCAAGGACTACCTGTATGAACAAACAGCTTTGTTCTAAAGTATGGGTCTTACTGTTATGTAAGGATAGTTCAACAGATCTATTCTAAAAAACAATCTTTATAAAAGCCTTCCTTACACTAACATTCTCCTAATGTTTAAGATTCCACTTCCAGGAGTCGCAGCCAACATAGGTGAAACTGTCCTGATGAGGTTTCTTGGAATTTCAGATAGGATTATGTTGTAACAGCATTTAATTGTGACTATATAGTACTTATTAAATGCCTATTAAATTTAAGATTACAATCTATGATATTTGTTGCCCATGGGACCTAATCTCCCATTAAGTAGAAGGTATGCATCAGGCTTCATTATGATTGAAATCCTCTACATGGCTTACAGCAATTTATGATACCGTTTTCCACTAGAAAAATTCAATTTTAGAGTGACAATCAAAATGAAATAAAACAGATCTAATTCAAAAGTGCTAAATATATTGGTTGCAAAAATGGGCGTGCAATATCTTCCAGTGAATAACATTTATGCTACCAAAAATGATGTAGCATAATATTAAAATTAGAGTTTATAAAAATTGCAAATTTTAACATTTGTAACATGACATCTCTGAAAACCAAGGGAGATGTGATAATGACTTAAAATGTGAAAACTAAATTAAAGAGAGCTAACTTCTGCTATATTGAATATTGTCAGATACTGTCTCTTACTCTCCTTCCCTTTATTTGGAATTTCTAGTAGAAGAAAGGAGAATGGAGCTTTGACAATCATAGATTGAGAAGATCAGGGTATACACCAATGTTTTTCAAACTTGTCAACTTTAAGTTGCATGGGCTTTAACTCCCAGAATTCCCAGCCAGTCATATTGGTTGGGAATTTTGCAGGTTGAAGTCCATGCATCTTAAAGTTACTACGGTTGAGAAGCATTGGTGTAAATGTTTTCCTTTCAATCTTGTATCATTGTGAGATGAAACAAATCCTTTAAGATAATTTTATTTTTCCTGTCATTCACAACCTACAATTATAAATTGGTATCTGATATCAATAAGCAATTGGATAAAGAAAAGCTAGTTGAAAATTAATTCAAACAAAACAGGTGCTGCTGGTAAACTGAAATGCAAATCCACGAATAAGGATGCAACCTGCACTAAATGGGGTTACAATCATCATTTGTGTTTATTTCTATATTCAGCCAGGATTTTCATATGTCAACACCCAAGATTTTTACACATCTCAGACTGCAGAGTTGTAAACATTGCTAAAAATTCCTGTTAAGCCAGGATGATACATTCCTTAGTATCTATCTCCTTTGGATCATGGCAGTTATATTATTTGACAGCTTTGGGGAAACACTGAACAATTTCAACCTGTCCAATGCTATTACTGAATTTTTTGCCTCAGGCCAGTTATAGTGAGATGTAACTCCTTCATTATAGTATCATCACTGACTGGATGACTTTCCTAGCACAGTGCCCTAAATCCCACACAATTTAGGATCAGGTTTTTGAAATAATATATTTATCTTTACAAGTTTGCACACACTTAATGTCATTTAGAAGAAGCCTTTCTTCCCTCCCTCCCTCCCTCCCTCCCAACTATTGTAGACATTTTTTGTTAAGAGATCTGACGGGTTTAACCAGGCTTCAGAATTTTCTGAAAAAAATTGCTAGGGTAACTCTCTCTTGTTTTCTATGGTCTGGTAAGCAGTCTCCCTCTGGCATGTAATTTGGCTAGCTGTTGAATACATTGTAACTGAATGTGTATTCTATTTATTAGTATGCTTTTAATGGTATTTTAAGTGTTTTAATTGTGAATTTATTTTATTTTATTTTTCTTACTATTAGCACTATATGCATCATTTATGGTGAAAAGTAGGGTAATAATTTCAGTAAATAAACTAATAAATTTCATAAAAGTAAATTGTAAACATTACTGTATGAGAAAATTGCTGCATTTGTTTCCCTACAGCAGGGGTAGGCAACCTTGGCTCTTTTATGACTCGTGGACTTCAACTCCCAGAATTCCTGAGCTATGCTGGCTCAGGAATTCTGGGAGTTGAAGTCCACGAGTCATAAAAGAGCCAAGGTTGCCTACCCCTGCCCTATAGGCTCTAAATACATAGATGTTTTATTCCAAATTTTACATTAGCATTTTACAGCAATCCTTACTGTGAAATTTAGGATGCAATGTTATGTTATAGCCAAGGAACTAAATCAGAGAAATTATGCAGTGATGGTACCTAGTCTGCTTGCTAATTAAAACAAATAAACAAACAAAAAAACCTCTGCATCTAAATTAGTTGAAAAACTATGTGCAGACACAGAAATCACATTGATACCTCCCCAAATCAGATCTTAGGTCTGTTTCTCTTGCTTGGTTTCTTATATATACATTATAAATATTAGCTCAGGCCCCTTTCTTTGCTACTTATCTTGTATTGTTTTTAAAAATATAATTTGAGGTTTCATAATCTGTCCACTCATCGTTTTATACATGAAATAGGCAACTTTTTAAAGATGCAAAAAGTGTTTAAAGGACTTTTTTGAGGATTTCTATAATAAAATAGTAATACTGAATCGATTCTTGCAGTTATCTGTGACTAAGTTTAAAGTGGTAAATCCACATAAAACAAAATTTTACATTATGCAGCATAACAATGCCCTTCATTCTAAGAACCCAAGCTCTTACTTAGTTTTTCTTACTTAGATCTGCACTCCAACTGATTCAGTGGGATTCATAATTAGAAAAGTGGACTTAATAACACTACCTCTATTTGTGAGTGGAAGAAAGAAAAAAGGTAAAATTGGGGTGACATCTTGTTTCATACAGAGGGAGGACTGAATAGGAAGCAGCAAAGCTGGTCAGCTTGGAACATCTTTTCTTAGCAAGTTTCTATTGCTAAGATTACTAGTCATGTTACAAAACAGTTTGTTTCCTCTTTTTTCCCCACTACAGCTCTGGAATTAATCTCATTGTTATGGAAAATCCAAATGACACTGCGGAACTTTTGCTTGATTCTGTGTGTATGCATGTGTCTAGAGTTTTGAAAAACAGTTTAATAAAAAGTTAGAGAAACAAACCAAGTAATATGATGAGAAAAACTATGATTCATATCCTTTGAGGCAATGTATTTTATACATTCACTTCAGCATACTGTAATTACTTTGGACCAGGTCCATTAAACTGAGTGGCACTTGCTTATTTATGTGTTTATGGCTTTTATATACCAACTTTTCTCTAAGAAATTTGGGGTGCCCTCCCTAATTTTAATTATCTGTGCATGTGTGCACAACAAACATAAATGGAAAGTTAACAGAATAGAAGAGAAAGCCACTCAATGAATTCTGTGATTGAGACTTGGAGTTAGGTTTTTCCCAGTGCAAGTCTAACAATTTGTGACTGTATATGCATAACATTATTTTAATCTATATTTCCCACCCTCTTATCTCCCCCCTGCAAATACATCCAGATGTAGTTTTAGACTAATGTTTCTTAAACTTAGCAAATTTGAGATGTATGGACTTCAACTTACAGAATTCCCTAGCCAGGCTTCTATACATCTTAATTTTGCCAAGTTTGAGAAATATTTGTTTAAACCTTGGGTGACTACAGTATATCAAAGCACATTTTTTCCTAAGGGATAACAAGACTTTCCTACTGGTTTTGCATCTTGCTTCAAAAAAAGTGAAAACAGTTTCTTTGAAAATTAAACAATTTAAAATGATCATTATTATTTTTAAACAGATGTAGCATTGTTCTACCCTCTCTATTAAGCACTGAATCTTATTTACTTATTTAACGGTTCTTATAACCACCCCAATCCCAAAAGGTATGCACATTGTGTACAACACCAACAAAAACAAAACAAAATAATAATAACTAGGTGCTCATAGTCGGTTAGTTGGGATTTCAAACACATTGAAATAAAACACTTTGAAGCTATGTGTGGAACTGCAAAAAGGTGGAAACTGAATGTACTTCTGGGGACAGAGTATTCTGTAAAGGAAGGGATACTACAGAGGAAGCCTGCAGGCCTCAGTAAAGGATGAAATGTTTAGCAGGACTATTTTTGATAATGGGATATGCAGATTCAATTGCAAGATTGCTTGATATATCCTGGTGCTGTGCTGTTAGGTAATGGTAAAGATAATGAGTAGCATTTCACATTATGTCTGCTGGCAACCATTCACTGACTTTAATATAGATGTAATTCTGAATTGGGAGGGTATCCAGTTAATAATCTTGATACTACATTTTCTACCAGCTGCAGCTACTGGTTTGTCTCCAAAGGCAGCCCCACCTAGAATGCATTGTAGTAATCCTCTCAAGGAAAATTGAGACTCAGTTAGTAATAGTACATTAGTATAGTGTTATATATCACTTCCAGTGTAATTGCAATCTTTTCAGACTTGGACAAGCAAAAGCCTACTGCATATTGATCTGGAGCTGTGGCTGATAAAGCAGCTGATTACCTGGAGGATCCAGCAGTGTTCATAGTCCATGTTTTCTGATTTGAAAGTCTGCTGGGAATTCTGCATGTGCAGATTCATATACTTTGGACCTTAACTTTGAATGAATGTGACTTAAAATAAGAATATTAAATGTAGCCTGATTAAAATATGATAAAGAGCCATGGTGATGCAGTATTGCAGACTAATTCTGCTGACTGCCAAATGCCAACAATTCGGCAGTTCGATTCTCACTGACTCAAGATTCATTCAGTCTTCCATCCTTCTGAGGTCGGTAGAATGAGGGCCCAGATTGTTGGGGGCAATATGCTGAATCTATAAACCTCTTAGAGAGGGCTGTAAAGTACTGTGAAGTGGTATATAAGTCTAAGTGCTATTGCTATAACTGAAAAGTTATCTTTTGTTTAGCAACAGAAATACTGTATCTTTGAATTTCCTCTAGCTGATGGCATAATCTTACAAACCTTACTTGATTCTGAAAATCAGATTTGAGTAAGAGTGGATTAATACCTGGATAGGAGATTATCAAGAAATACCTGGACTGTAGACTAGCCTGGGATGTTGAAAAGAAAATTACAGAAGAAAATAAGGCAATTTCCATATTTTAAAGAAAACAACATTCAAAGAAATTGAATTTGCCTGAAAATTGGTTTTTCAGCCTGTTACTGGCTTATTTCATATGTGTGCCATTTGTGTGCTTGTAAAAGGTCCTATAAGGTGAGAGGGGTTGTTTTCCTTCCCATTTTACTATTGGAATTGGTTCCATCACAGCTGGGCAAATTAATCATCCTCCTTTCTCTCCTTCCATCCTTCCAATAGTTAGAGTTTCACTGTTCCAAACTGAAGCTTGGGTTAATAAAGCAAGGAAAAGCCAGCTGTACAAGTAATGTTTGATTTATGACAAATTCCCCAAAAGGTACTTAGGACCTAGATTGAAGTTCCAATGGCTACTCCCCATGGTCATGTGATTGCACTGTGGATGCTTGGCAACCAACTTGCATCTAAAGCTGTTTGCAACATCCCGTAGTCACGTGAGCATAATCTATGACTTTTGTTTTGCTGGAAATCAGCATTTACTTCTGATTTTCAGCAAGAAAAAAAAATACCCATAGTGAGCGATGTGCACTCATAGTACATTTAAAAACCACGGTGTTTGTCTAACAACCACCACATTCACTTTACAACCTCCATGTCCACTTAACAGCAGCATAAAAAAGGGTTGTAAAACAAGGTGTTTATGTGATGACCCACTTAATGATCGGCATGACTTACAGACTCAGTTATGATAGCAAGTCAAGGACTACTTGTATATGCAATATAATAATTGCCTGGACTAATATAATAACTGAATCTAGTTTCTATTACCACTACAGTAAAGCAGAGCTTAGTAGTAATAGCATGAGTGATTATTATTTTGTTCAGAACTGAAATTGTGACTTTAAGTCCAAGTTCCTCTATTAATGAAAGGAGATAATCCCTCTCTTGTTAATACAAGATTTCATTTAAACTCCTGAGATGTTTGGTGGCAGTGCCATATTTTTATCATTTCTGAATTATAAGTTCTTCTAAAACTTGAAGTTAAAGAAATGTTGCGTTCAGCCTTAAGAAGCAGAAGTATGAAATGCCATTAAAAACCTAAAAACATAAACATTTCACTTGGTAGTCAGAATGATGAAAAGCTCACTATTAAAAGCCAATTAATTCACAAGTGCATTAAGAATAAAATGGGAAATTAAATATATCTATATCTAAATATAGATATTTTAATGGAATGATGGAAAATAGATGAGAATTAGAAAAGCTTGCTTTAATAAATGTTTAATCAGGATATAATAAAACTTACCAAAGAATCGTCTTAACCAAAAGAGGTATAACACATTCTTTTCATTGATAGCACCAGCAAAATAAGTGCCCATGTGTTCATTGGGCGATGGTAAAAAGGAGTCCAAAAGCCATTTTCCATTATAGCACTTTCATAATGTGTAAAAAAAATGTTGTTTCAGGAGTTGCCTGCTGAAGAGCTCTGTGCAACTCTAAAGAAGTTATTTGAAGAACAGGTATTGCCTTGTTTATATCTATCATATATAATTTGGGGTAGCTATATATTTTACAATTGGAGAAGCATTGTGGCTTTATACAAGAATTGTGAAATATATTTGTCTGGTTTAATATACTGATATAAGTGTAGGAATTTTGATCAATGTTTAGAGCAAATTTTGCAATCACTTTTCTTCTCATCAGTAGATGACAGAACACTCAAAGTGATGTCCATATTGTGCTGATCCATTCATTGCGATAAAAGATTTGCCTATGCAAGAACTTAATGCCTATAGTCAGGAACACAAAGCTGCAAATCAGCTGTGCTAAAAACAATCCTGAGCTTACACCCTATTCAAGTTTTTGTTAATAAGTTACAGGTTTTGTTACGTGTTTAACTGTTATAAGTATAAGGAGAACATTCACCCTCCATCTGAATTAATGGACTGTTGATTGTAATTGTGAACCATTCTTTCAGCTACTGTACAAATGCCGTGGTCTTTATTTATGTAAACTCTCTGAATGGTAATGTTGCAGCAGTAGTTGCTTAGTAGATTGCAGCAAGGGTTACTTGAGTTAATAATTCCAGGGCATGTTTATAGTCCATTTGTATATATGATTTTTTTGAACAAACGTCAAGGCTTTAAGATATTTCAGTACAGCAGTAATAAGCAGATAATTATGAGCATGACTACTGTATGTAAATAGAAACACGTTTATAATTTACGTGTACTCCATTTGGTGGTGATGTGTATACAGCAGGGAATTTGGAGCTTTGTGAACAGAAACAGGCCCTGCTATGTTTGCAAAGTATGTTGAAGGGATATGTGATTAATGTTTACAAAGTCTGTGATATTGTACAGGCACAAGAGTCATTTTAAGTAGAAAGACAATCCCCAAAATGTCTGAAGGTTTAAATAATAGTTTTTAAAAATCTGTTTGCCCCTTAAGCATTTATTCCTGTTCTCTTGCTTCAATTAATTTATTTGGATTTTGATAGCACAGAAAAAGGTCTTACCTTTTCAGAAATGGCAGCCTCTTTTTCCAAAGTCCAAGTAAGTAATATATAAAATGCAGTCTTTGCTTTGCAAAGAGGCTGACAATCCTGTGTGACATATTAATGATACCAACTACAAATCTACTTTCCATTCACTAATCTGTACCAAAAAGAAAATCTTGGTTTGTGTATACTTTCCTTTTCTCTGTTTCATGGTAAACATTGGTTTTCTTGTATACTCCCCAAATTGCCTAAAATAACTGATCAAGACTTTCTTCATTTCAGATTTAAAACTCATTTCTTGCCCCTGATCACTCCTACTATGACTTTTATTTTCATGGATTCATTGTCTTAGGCTCCATACATAGGCTTTAATGATGCAAACCAAAGTGCTTGTAACATTTTCACCATACATAAAGTATTCTGCGAATTCACAAAAGGATGCTTGATATTGTCTTGTAAACTATTCAGAGAAAGAATATTTTATCAAAATAGTTTTTCTCAAAGTTTATATGCTAACATCAATTTGGGCACTATGTGGATAAACAGTTTCAGCATCAATCCTAAATGATAACTTTTTTTTGTTTCTTGTATTTTAAAACTTCACTCTACTTTTAAATCTGGTGACAAATTTCAATAACATTAATCAACATTTTCCCAGATATTCCAGAGGCAGATTTACAATTTATTTACTTATTTTACTTAATTACTTTTTGACTTTTACTGTGATTGGTTCCTAAAAATATTAACAAAGAAATTTTCACTAAAACTATTAAATATGTCCAGAATGGCTACAGCAGTCAAATCATTGAAACAATTACTTCCAAAATCTTATTATGTTTTCTTTTCCTTTTAATCAGGTAGATAAGAAGATTGTCCGAACAGAAATAGGTGTTCTTCTTCGACTTTCACATCCAAATATTGTAAGTTTGCAAGCCCAGACTTAAAAATGTTACCCTGCATCTTAATTTCCTACTGTGGACATATTTTCCTGTCTTGCTGCACATAAGAGGACCAAAAGAACTCTACATTCTCAAAAGTTTTTAATCTGACCATATTTACTTGTTTATTAGTCTGTTCTGGGAAGCATCAGAGTTCTTGTCCACTTGAAATTATTTCTAGTAGTCTTTCAAGATATTTCAAACACTCTGAAGAATCACTTCAGAGAAAATAATGTTTAGTGCATGCTTTTTAAAAAAAATATGCTTTATGCTGAACCATAAATTGTGAAGTTTTTAATTAGAAAGAAAGGAGGAGAGAAATTGGGGGAAAAAAATAAAAATTAGAATATAACCAAGCTATCAGATACTATGTAAGATACATCTATTTATTGTAACCTTATTGTAAATCAGGGGTCTTCAAACTTGGCCAATTTATGACTTGTGGACTTCAACTCCCAGAATTCCTCAGCCAGCATGCCTGGCTGAGGAATTTTGGGAGTTGAAGTCCACAAGTCTTACATTGGCCAAGTTTGAAGACCCCTGTTGTAAATTATATACATACAGGGAAGAAGGGGAAATAGACAATTGTTTACTTTGTTGCTTTTTTCAGATAAAATTGAAGGAGATATATGAAACCCCCACAGAAATCAGCCTTGTCTTAGAACTGGTAACAGGAGGAGAGCTGTTTGACAGGTATGTGGGCAGCTTGTGCATATTGTTGTTATATATATTGTCCAAATATTATATAATAGAGATTCATTTGGGTTTAATTTTTTGAGAACACAGAGGCTGAAAATGCATTATTTTCTCTGTGATATGTGCTCCAGTGGCTGGAATTATATTTTAACAGATCTGAAAATGCTGGTCTTCAGGTCTGTTCCAACTAGCTGGCCAGCCTCTCTATCTTTCCGCCCTTTTTAATCCAGTTTAAAACACACTGGTGATACATTCGTATTGTTTTGACTATTTTCAAATCTATCTAAGTGACAGGATACGATGAGCACAGCCAGTTTGTGTGTATGTTTGACTTGCAGAAAGCCACTTACTAATTAGCTCTTTCCCATTTAGCAACATTTTAGAAATGACTCTCAACCAATCAGTGCTTGTTTGCTAGCTAATCATCACGTAGCTTAGCTCTTCATAGCCACGGTTCAACACATCCTTTTTTAACTTTTCCAGGTGTTTCTGTGCTCACCATGGTAGCAGACCTCCATGGCCTATCAAACCCATAAGGCTGGTATGCCAGTAATTCTGCATGTGACTGTTTTTTAGTGACTCTAAAATGCCAGCCTGAGAAAGGGAGGGCAGGGAAAGCCAAGAATTAGCTTACGATTACTAAGTCCATTTGATAGCTACTTAATTGTTTAGGTGCTTGTAGACTTAATTTTGACTCTACTTACTTGACTTATACATTTTTGTTGGTTTTTTCTATTTTTCTGTTTGTTGTTATTAATTGTTTTATATATATCTTTTTAAATCCTTTTAGTTCAGGTAGTCCTTGACTTAGCAACTGTTCAAAGTTATCACATATTTCCCCAGGGCTACATACAACCTGAATTTGAAGCTCCAATGGCTTCCCTACCATGGTCACATGATAACATTTGGGGCACTTGGCAAGCGGCCTGCATTTACATCCATTTGCAATGTCCCACGGTCACACAATTGCAATTTATGATGTTTTTTTCTGGAAACTGATGTTCAGTTCTGGTTTCCGGCAAAAATACCAGTTGTGGACAAAGGATTCTCTTAATGATTGCAGTGTTAACTGCTGCAATAAAGGTCATAATTAGATGTGGTCACATGGTAACCATCTAAACGGCCAGCTCAACTTATGATAATAATTCCAGGTTCAATGATGGCCATAAGTCGAGGATTACTTGTAGATAAGGTTGGAAATCTAAATCAAGAAAGTTAACATGAATGTCTTCATGAGGTCACTAGGAGCTGAGCTGTTCGCTAGACATTGGTATTTGAAGATAGATCTTTTTAATATTTATAGTTTATTGTTTTACTAATCTAGGTGAAATGTTAATGTAGCTAGTCCATGTAAGATATGCCATTTGCTAAATAATAATAAATAATTACAATTCTGCATTCTTCTAAGAAAGTAGAGCCTTATTGGCTGACTGCCATTCTCTAAATGATGACTGACAATTAAATACTAAACATTTCACAAATATTGAAAAGACTTGAACCTCGTCCCTCTGTGTCAATGGAGATTCTCAGTCATCCAGGTCATGGTGGTCCCAAGGTGCTTTTTCAGGAGGCAACTGGACTTTCTTGTTTTTTCTTTGAAGATGTTTTGCTTCTCATCCAAGAAGCCTCTTCAGCTCTGACTGGATGGTGGGGAATGGAAAGATTTATATTCCTTGCAGACAGCTCGGCCCTCTATATAAGTCAAGTCTCCATGCTGACTGGGGGATTCCAGAGTTGAAGTCCATATATTTGAAAGTTGCCAAGGTTGAGAAACACTGCATTAGGGAAAAAAACCCAATTAAATTATACTA